CTGAGTGGAGAAGAGGCCTTGGAAGCACAGTATCCAGTTGGAGGCCGCTTGTGTGGCGCAGAGCTGGCGGGAGGGGAGGCCGCGGCCCCACCACCTAGAAGGGCAGCAGCTCTTCCACGGGGATGTTGAGGGTGACATCCATGTCGGGGGTGCACCTGGTAGGAAAGAGCAAAGAGAGAGGTAAGAGAGGCCAAGAGAGGGGTCCCCGAGTTGCAGATGGGGGGCACGGCCACAGTTTTGTCTGAGAACACAGTTACTTAGTTGAGGGGCCCATCCCAAACACAACCATGAACTCATGTCCAACTCTACGTGTGTGCATGAGCACACACACACACGTTAGGAAATGCAGAAGGGGGCCCTCCCTGGTGGCGCAGCGGGTTAAAGCGCAGCACTGCAAACTGGCCACAGCCGCTTCAGTAAGAGTTCGATCCCCAGCCAGGGAGGTGACCACATGGCACAGCAGACCTCTCCTGTCTCACCCGCTGCTCCTTGACAATATACTTTGTCAGTCGGCCTGTTCTGCTCCCCACTCTGCCTCTGGTGAACCCTCTCACTGGCCCTGCACCTCTGGCCTGTACCCCGGTTCTGTATGCATAAATAAATAAATTTTTAAAAAAGAAATGGAGAAGGGGTGGGTTTGGCGGGACTCATATCCCTTGCAGCGATCGGAGGTACACAGGGATGAGGGGTGGTTCAAGCAGGCTGCAGACCACAGGGGAGCACGCTCTCTGGAGGTGGGATGGCCGGTGTGGAAAGCTGGCTCTGTGTCACCAGGAGCACACGCCTTCTCTCCCAGCCCCGCTCCTTCACAGGCACCCACGTAAGGAGCACCCACCCACCTCAGGTGAGCCTCCATTTCCTCATCTGTCAAAGCAGGTGGTAACGCCAACCTCCGTCAGAGACAGGACGATAAAGAAGAGGGGCTGGCATGTCCCAAGTGCCCGCAGGCCTCGTTCCTCCCACACAAGTAGCTGCCCAACCCCGCGCACCTCACCCACTGCACCCCAAGAGGCTGCAGGTCATCTACCGTCCCGGGCCCAGTAACCTGCCAGTGACACTGAGTACGGAGGCGCCAGGCACCTGCAACTTTCAGCATGTGAGCAGAAAACAAAGAAGGGAATGAAGCCAGCGTGGCAAAAAGACGACTTCTACATCTAGAAGAGCCACTGGGTATTTCACTAAAGGAGACTTTTCTATAAATCTGAATTTCACAATCACGGGAAAAATGTGCCACTGTGCATTCCCCCCAGGACAGTGGAGCGCTCCTTCGAGGACGTGGTAGGTACTGTCTGTGGGCAGGAGCTTCCGTGGCATAATCTGAGCGCGCCCAGGCCCCAAAATAACCTATCAAATCACAACAAATAGGAAGATTTTACTTCCAGCTAACAGAGGAAACCTGGGCGGGCCGACACCCAAATTCCCACCTCCAGCCACGTGTCTCCTGAGACCTCACACGGGCACTCAAAGCCCACGTGGGGCTCCACGGGGAAGAAGCCGGAACCAGATTCAACGTCCAGCTGACTCCGGCTTGCTCGCACCTCTGTGTGCCCCCTCGCCCTGGTCCCAACTTACCGGATCTCGGGATTCACACCACCGCCCTCCCTGCGTCGGGTCAGGAACTCAGAGCTGTGCCCCTGGCTCCCCGGGCCCCACCGGGCCACAGCCCCGTTCTCCGGCCCCGCGCTCAGTTCTCAGAAGCCACCCTACCTGGAGACTCAAGCCACATTCTCCGTGGTCAGCTTTACCAGGATAAAAGTGAAGCTCTGGCCCACCTCCGCCCTGGGCTCCCAGTCCGTGTCAGCACATACAGAGCTGAGTCAGGAAGCAGGAGCATCGTCCTGACACCCCAGCATCCACCGGCCCCCAGCAGTGTGCCCCCACTCCAGCCCCCTTTGCCTAGTTAATGCCCACGCATCCTTCAGCTCTGTTCAAATGTCAGCTTCGCAGGGAAACTTCCCTGCACCTGTCGGGCTCCGGCTGGCCTGGCAGTTCTCCCCGGCCCAGCCGCCCTGTTCACAGCTCCTGCTGTGGTGGAGTCGCTTTCTCGTGCGGCTCAGCAGCAGTCAAGGTCTGGCCCAAGACGTGTCTCCACGGAGGTGAGAACAAGGGCTGCTGACAGCCACAGTGCTGGTGCCTCATGAGCACTTCATGGACCTGACAGTTTTCTTAGCAACAGGAGGAGGAAGAAGAGATGGGAGGAGGAGACAGACATACAGACAGAGACTAAGAAGAGGAAAAATTCACTCCTAGATGCCAGCATCTGCCCCCCACAGTCGTAATGCCAGGGTTGATCGTGCCAGCATGGAGAGGCTGGTCCACAGGTATCCCCAGGCCAGGATAGCCAGTGTCCTCCTAACCTCTGGGGGTAGGCGGAGAACTGGGCCGGCAGGAAGGAAGATCTCCCTTTGGGGAAGAAGCATGCTACACACCTCCTCTTCTTGCGGGGTTTCTCCCGGCCATTCAACCTTAACTCTGTCTTCCTAAACATACCAGGAGCTTGGGGGTGCACCCATGAGATTGAAATGTGGAATCTGGGAACCAGAAGCGTCCACCTTTGTGTATACCACTGTGCGCAGGCGGGGAGTGAAGGCCCAGAGAAGGGGAGCCTCACACCGGCACGTGGTAAGAGGCAGAGCTGGGCTGCAGGCCGGGCACGCTGCCGCCCTGCACAGGGTTCTGCCTGCCACACTCAGCTGCAAACTGAGAATGGACCAGATCATGGCTAGCGTGTGAGATGGTCACCTACTTGGGCCTCCGAAGCAGGACGTCCGCAAATAAGACCTCTCGGGGATCCAGGATCTGGGCATGGAGCTGTTTCACCTCCTTCCGTAATAAGGGTATTTCCGCTTCATACTGGCCAACAAACTGATGGAAGAGGCCCGGCAGGGGAGAGTGAGAAGCCAGAGGAAAGGGCAGAGAGAAAAGGGCAAAATGGACGAGGAAGAAAGACAGCTGGGGACATGGGTCTGGGCTCAGTCACCGGGGTGGGCAGGGAGGGCCCCCTCGTGCAGGGCAGGGGAGGCTCAAGTCAGTGACAGCCGACAGTGCCAGACACGGAGTGAGGGGGGTCGTGGAGAATGGACACAGGTTGCAAGGGGGTGGCAGAGCTTGGTGACAAGAGTTGGGGGGCGGGGTGGAGACGGATGGCCCTGAAGGTTGTGGGCTGATGAAAATGAATGTGAAGGGTGGTGACAGGCACGAGGCAGGGCCTACACCAGCACTCATCCCCTCCCGCGACGAATGGCGAGCAGCGACAGCACTGGCAAGGAGCAGGGCTCCCCGGGAGCTGGAGCCCTGCCACCAGGTTAGGGCCAGCCTGACGCCCCCCAGGTGCTGGGGCCCCGCCCACCCCCACCTTCCTTGCCCACTCACCTCTCTGAACTTTTCCAAGTATTTCCGCAACCGCTGAGTGTCGCGGGTCTTCTGCAGAAGTGTCTTCTCGTGGGGAGCCTGGGTTTTCTGTGGGGAAGAGGGGGGAGTGTCTGGTCCCCGGGCACCTCTTCCTGGACAGCCGAGCATGGAAACTGGTAGGGGTGCCGGGGGCCTGGAGGCAGAGGACGGGGAAGAAAGCAGGGTTGGGACACGCTGGGGTTCCCAACAGCAGTGGGTTACTCACCACCACCAGAGACATCAGAAGATTCTTCTGCTTCTCCTGTATCTGCTTGGACAAGTACGCCAGGACCGTGCTGCGCATCTCGTTAAGTTCGTCCAGCTCGTCCTGGGGGTGGCAGGAGCGTGTGGGCCTTCCGCCCTGTCACCACGTGGTCAGTGGGCAGGGCCAGGGTCCACCTACCTGCTGGCTGTCCTTCATCTGCTGCAGCTGGCGCATGAGGGTGGCGATCTGGACCGACGTGACAGGATACTCATGGTCCATGTATGTGCTCAAGAAGTTCACTTCCTCCTGGGTCTTCTGGATCTTGGCCTTCAGCTGCTCCAACTGCTGCTCCAGTTCTGGAGAGGTCAGAAGGGACAGGAGGTAGGTGCACCCTCATACACCCTCCAAGAGGTCTCCTCGGCCACTGGACTGGGGCCTGGGTGGTGTTCACACAAAGCTGGGAGGTGGCGAGAAGTTAAAGCGCCCAGGAAGCCGTCTCTCCACAGGAGAAGAGGCCACACTAGGGAAGGAGGCGTATTGGTGAAGACCCCTCAACTGGTTCTACCATCAACTTGCTGTGTGACCCTCAGTAAGCCTGTCCCCCTCTGGGTCCTCCCTGGTGGCACAACAGGCTAAAGCGCAGCACTGCAACCCAGCTGCAGCCACCTCAGTGCCAGTTCAATCCCCAGCCCAGGTGACCCATATAGCACAGCAGACCTCTCCTGACCCGCCCACTGCTCCCCTCAGCAGTGTACTTTGTCTATCTGCCTGTTCTGCTCCCCACTCTGTCTCTGGTGAGTCCTCTCACTGCCCCTGAGCCTCTGGCCTGTACCCCAGTTCTGTATGCACAAATAAACAAATCTTCAAAAAACAGACTGTCCCTTGCTGGACCTCAGTCTCCCTGCGCACACATTCCCAAAGCAGTGAATCCAGAGTGACGTCACATTGGTTCCAGAAGCTACAACCACAGAATGGCCTAGACAAAGCCGATCCTGCCACCCCCCATGGAGGAGATCCTCAACATCTGAGGTGCCTGACACGCCACCCCTTCACCAGGAAGACTCCAGACTGCTAAGTGGAAAGAAACCACAGGCTTGGTGGTATGAAAGGAGACCTGAGCCTCGGCCCAGCTACCAACTCCCAGAGGCACCATGGTGAAAAACCAAGGCAGTAGGAGGTAGGATTCTGGCTCCCGGCTAATAACCTTCAGCAGCCCCCCTTCAACTCTCTTGGCCTCAGTTTCCTCATGTGTAAAAAGGGAGAAGAGCCCCCTTCTCACAGGCAGCTGTAGTGACACATAAGCTCTGCATCCTGGCGACCCCAGCACCCTCCACCAAGGGAGATCAGGGGGTCTTGGAAGGTAGGTTCAAGTGGATGTCCGGCAGCTGGCCTCCCCGCAGGGCAAGCGGAGGACCGTGGTGTACCCGCCAGTGCTTACGGCTCACTCTGGATGCCGCCTTCTCCTCCCACTCCTGGAGCTCACACTTAAACTGCTGCAGCTTCTTCTTGTTGGAGTACTCCAAGATGTCGATGACGGTCTGTGGGAATGGCGTGCTCAGTCACCGACAGCCTGGTGCAGCCACCACAGTATAAGTTCTCGGGGACCCGCGGCCTGCAGTGGCCACTGGGCGCTCCTCAGGGGAGTCCCCAAACCTGGTGCTGGCCCCAGCCTGGTACCCTGAGCACAGGCTAGAAAACAGTCACCTACTGCCCCACCCGCCTCCAAACTTCCCCATTCCTACCACCCACCGCAGTCGAGGGCCCCTACTCACACAGAGCATCCAAAGGGCACCAGGTTGTGTGGACTTGACCCCCACCTAGCCCGCATAGCCACACCCTTCCCTCCACCTCCACTGCAATGTTCTTCAAGTTCTCATCTCTGCAGGAGCCGTGCCGAACTGGTCGCCTGCTGACTTATTCTGATCACGACAGTCATAATCATGTTTCCTTAAAATTCCAACTAGTCAGGCCCTCCCTGGTGGCGCAGCAGGTGAAAGCACAGCACTAAGAGGCTGGAGCCACTCGGCATGAGTTTGATCCCTGCCTGCCCGGGACGTGACCCCATGGCCCGGCAGACCTCTCCTGACCCGCCCGCTGCTCCCCTCAGCAGTGTACTTCAACGATCTGCTTGTTCTGTTCCCCACTCTGTCTCTGGTGAATCCTCTCACCGCCCCTGTACCTCTGGCCTGTACCCCAGTTCTGTATGCACAAAATAAATAAATAAATCTTAAAATTAAAAAAAAAATCCAACTAGCCACAACCCTCTCCTATTTAAAACCCTCCAAAGGCTCCCTTCTGTCTTGCAGATAGGTGAGAACGCCTAGCCTGGGCTGACAGGTCGGACATCATGTCTGACACATACATGAGCTTGGTTGGGGGAGGGGAGGTAGTGAGAAGATTCTCCAGAGACAGCATGGAGAACAGAGCAGGCAGACTGACCTATGTATATGGAGGATGACACAATTCAGTCCTTAACGGAGGCAGGACACAGAGTTACCAGCAATGTCGCTCCCCACCCAGGCACACACAGAGGAAAAGCTTGAGGATGCCCGGACACAGCAGCCTTGTCCTCCTCGGCCTGGCCTGGGCTACTTGCTTCTCTCTGATCCAGTCCTCACACTCAGCAAGGAATGGCCCCCTGGGTCAGCTGTTCTGTCACCTAGGCCCTGTGCACCCACTTCCTGTGCCTGGAACACTCACCTGCTTTCTACCAATTAACACCTACCTCTGAAGGTTTCAACCCAAACCCCAGAACTCCTTCCTAATACTTCCATGTCAGGGCTAGAGGGTCCCTCTACAAACCCCCCCACAAGTTCTCCCATTCCCCACGAGTCAACACAAAAGGCTTTCTAACTTCTGTGACCCCAATAAGAATGACATCTTAATGTACACAAGGCATCCAATTGGTCTGTTTCCCAAGAACCCTTAGAACACCCTCAGGATGAAGCAATAAATGTATGACTGGCCTGATGTGGGAAAGCCAGACAGTGACTTTGTCTAGGATTAGAGACTATCCTACTAGGTTTCCTGGGGCTGAATAAATCTCTATGTCCTGCCTCTGTTAAAGACTGAACTGTATCATCCTCCAAATACATATGTTGGAACCCTAGCCCCTAATGTCACCACCTTTAGAGGCATATCATGGGGGGAGGGGGGTAATTAAGGTAAAAGGTCAAAAGAATCAGGCCCTAAGCAGTAGGCCTAGAGTCCTTATAGAAAGAAAAAGACCTCAGCAATGTCACTCTCGCCCCAGGCACACACACAGAGAAAAAGCTAGAGAACGCCCAGACCCAGCAAGAAATCAGTGCTCTGCACCCCAGGGAGCGCCGCCTCTCCAGGCACCAACCTGCTGCACCTTGAGCTTGGACTTCCAGCTCCAGAGCATGAGGAAATAGCTTTATTTTGTTTAAACCGCCCCATCTGCGCTATTTTCGTATGGTAGCCCAAGCAGACTAAGTCACCAAGAAGTCTGAATTTTCCTAGTCTTCTCAAGGGCGTTGGGTGAGCTCAGGTCTCTCCTCCCTGGAAAGACTGCAGTCAGAGCGCAAGACACCCCCCCCCCTTCTACAGTGCAAGTTCTGAGGTCCCCTATGAACTTCCAGCACTCCCACTGCAGCTTCAAAAATGATTCCCCTTACCCAGCCTCCAGAGATCACTCCCTGGACCCAAAGTCACTCTTCACCTGCAGATAGCTAGGTGCCACCTCTGGGTGAGGCTTCCTGCCTGGCTGCATTTCTTCATATGTAAAATGAGACTAACAATGCCCACCCCGAGGGTTGCTGTGAGGACTGTAATGAATACAGAAAAGCAACAGTATTTTGGCATTAAGTATATGCTGGGGGGAGGGGGAAGGGTGGTTACTTTCTCTTGACCACCTTCATGGGGCAAAGGGAACCCCTGTGTAGGTGGCCACCCCATCCTGCAGAGCTCTGAGGTGAACTCAAATTCTCCCAGCTGGTAGGTGCTGGCTAGGGGGTGAGCGCCCATCTCAATCTGATTCTGATGCCCGGTGGGACAACTTCAAGCGGAGGGTGTCCCCGAGCACAGGAAGCCTTGTCCTGCTCAAGGCTGGAACTCCAGGCGTCTTGATTCAATCCCGGGGCCCTGGCCAGTGAGCCCGCCTGCCGAGCCCGCCAGACACATTCCAGCGGTCAGGTAACTCGCCCGCGTCCGAGAGCAGAGCGGCTGCAAGAGGAGATACTATTCCCCATCCCGCCACGCAGTGGCGGTGCCTCACGCGCCTCTCGGGCCGGGCCGGGTCGGACGCGCGGAGAGCGGGCGGGAGGGGGCGCCCCAGCGCTCAGGAGGGCGGAGGCCCGGCCGGCCGCGGGGCTCACCGACAGGGTCTCCTGCTGCTGCAGCGTGGTCCGCACGGTCCGGGCCGCGGCGTCCTCCAGGTCCCGGACGGCCCTCACCAGGCGCTGGTTGTGCTGGGTGAGGAACTTCTGGTGGTGGCACAGCTCCTGCAGTGCGCTCCGCCGGTTCTTGATCAACGCCTGCGGGCAGAGGAGGGCACGGCTCGGGCCCAGCCGCGGCCCCCGGGCGCTGGGGGGGCTCCGCCTCCCCTCCCCCACCCCTGCCCCTCGCGGCCGCCGCTGGGAACCGCGGCCCGAGCGGGGCGGGGCGCCCCATTGTGTGCGGGCCAAAGCACCCCCGCCCATTTCATCCGTTCTGAAGAGCCGGTTTCCCCCGTATTTTACACCTCCGGATGGGGGAACCACGTCTCAAAATTGGCAGCGTGTCCCTATCTAGTCGATGAATATTTTATTAGTGGACGAATAAAATGAAGGTCTTAGTAGCAATGGCTTTTTAGAATCGATGAGTGTAATGGTAGAAACAGCAAAAGAAAAGCCCCAGGGGGCTAAGGAGGTGGCGGAGGTGACAGGCCACCTCTGCGGAGCGGCAGGGCGCAGAGTGAGTGATAAGCTCCACCATTGGGGCAGGTGAGCTGAGCTCGCTCTCATTTCGTATAACACCCCCGTGAAACAGTAAGGGCCTGGGGGGGGGGACGGTCAATGTTTGCCAAAGGTCACCCCCAGAAAGTACCTGAAATCCCAGTAACAACTGCGCCCACACTGTGTCTCCCTGGCCTCAGGACACAGGTTATCCTTCGTCCTCTCATTGCCTAGGTTTACAGCGAACTTTATTTTACTCATTAGTGAAAGCTCAGAGAGGTGAAGTGACTCAGTCTCACAGTCAAAACGGGATGCCACAGGAACTGGAAAGGCCGACTTCTGACCCGTGTCTTTCTGCTGAGGGGAGCTGCGTGCTCAGACAAGGAACCAGTGGGCTGAAAACTGCAAGGTGTGACTGAACCTCCTAGCCATTAAGACTTGGATTTTAGACCTCACCACCACACCTTGGTTCAAATCCCAGCTCTGGCACTTGGCCCCTGGGGGAACCTGGCAAGTTAGTCTGCCTGGCTACCCGCACCGGAAATGTCAGGAAACTCCACCTGCTTCGCAGACCTGCTGTAAGAAGTGAGGCAGGTAATGTTCCCCATGGAGCCACTCTCTTCTTGTCTGTCTCCCCCAAGGCCATGTCCACACTGCAGCCAGGGTGGGTCCGGGCTGCACCTCTGCACCCAGGACAGTGCCGGGGCTCCAGAGCTACTGGCTGAACAAACGGGTGAGTATTCTTTGGGGTTTATAAAAATTCGTTGATTACATGTTTCCCCACTAAAGTGTGAGCTCCACGCAGCACAAACTCTGGGTGCTGGTTCAAAGCTGTGTCCCCAACACCCAACACCCAGCATGGTGCCTGGCACACTGTAGTGCTGTCAGATGGGGTGAGTCAGCGTCCTGAGGATGAGGGGAAGAGCCTGGATCCTACCCCATCTCCAAAAACACACCAGCTAAGTCATTTCCTCTCACTTCCTGTTTCCACCTTGCCCCAGAGTCCATTCACAAAGCATTGGCAGCCCAAGGATTCTGGCAAAAACCTACGTTGGATCACATACCTACTCACCCCAGGCTCCTCCACGGTCCTCCTGTCCAACTCAAAAGCACTCAAAGCACAAAGCCTAATCCAGACTGCAGCTCCACAGACAGGCTACTCCTTTTACTCCCTCACGCTTCACCAACTTTCTCATCACCTACCCCAGTCACACTGACCTCAGGACCTTTGCACTGGCAGTCCTCTACCTCTTTCCGATTATCAGCCCTTCAGTGGTCTTCTCTGACCACCCTGTCTGAAAGTCACAACCGCTCCCTCCTCTGTGCCTCGGCCCCCAATCTAGTCCTTATACATCATCGTAACTCCTGGCATTGCCACACGGATATTTGTCTGTCTCGCATATGGCCTCTCTCCCAGTAAAACATGAGCTCCCAGAGTGAGAGACCACATCACTGAACACCACACTTAGAACACGGCCTGGCACATAGTAAGCACTCAGGAACTATTTGTGACTCAGTGAATCAATGATGACAAGAGATGCTATCAGGAAGCGGTTAGAGGACAGGTTTTAGAGCCAAATCACCCAAGTCCACTTTTTTTTTTTAAAAAAAAGATTTATTTGGCCCTCCCTGGTGGTGCAGCGGGTTAAAGAACAGCACTGAGAGGCTAAAGCCACTTCTGCATGAGTTGGATTCCCGCCTGCCCCGGAGGTGACCACATGGCGCGGCAGACCTCTCCTGACCCGCCCGCTGCTCCCCTCGGCAGTGTACTTCGTCAATCTGCCTGTTCTGCTCCCCACTCTGTCTCTGGTGAAGCCTCTTGCCACCCCTGAGCCTCTGGCCTGTACCCCAGTTCTGTATGAACAAATAAATAAATCTTTTTAAAATAATAAATTAATTTTAAAAATTAAAAAAAATTATTTATTTACACATACAAGAGCTGGGATATAGTCTAGAGACATGGGGTGGGGGGCAGGGACAGTGAGAGGATTCTCCAGAGACAGAGTGGAGAACAGAGCAGGCAGACTGCCCGATGTACACTGTGGAGGGGAGCAGCGGGCAAGACAGGAGAAGTCTGCCTCGCCATGTGGGTCAGCTCCCTGGCCAGGAGTGCTAGTGGCTGTAGGCAGCTTCATAGTGCTGTGCTTTAACCCCTTGAGCCACCAGAGAAGCCCCAAAAGTTCATGTTTTATATTGAACAAGAATACCTAAATCCTTCTAAAGTCAGGATAAAAATAACATCAGAAATATGAGTTTCTCTATGAAGAACGCTAAGCTGTGTCTAGATCATTTTTGTAAAATTAAAGGTTAAAGGGGAAAAATGGCTTCAAAGCAAATATATTTTCCCCTATTTCTTTACATAGTAGTCATTGTTCATTGTGCTATTAAAGACTTCCTTGAGAAGTCAAGAATTATTCTGTATTTCTATGTAGTATTTATAGTGTTCAGTATTTTACTTTCTGCTATGGAAGCTCAAGACCTCTCTCCTTTTAATCATTTCAAATACTCTGAAACTTTCACACCATAACAGAACCATACAAACAATGAATGGTGAGAAAATTAATTTTCTAAAATTGTACCAAATGGTATGAAAAACTAACAGTAAGCCTCTAATAAGCCCTGCTTCAAGATGCACTCTATTCCATGAAAGGTTAATTTACTGGAAATTTTAAAATGAATAAGCCACTACATTGTGTTTCTAATGCAGTGAGATAAAAGTGATTCTGATCATTTTTCTTAGTCTTAACTGTAACAGCAAACACTTTGCTTAAACTGGAGCTGAACCCTGGCACTGACCACTTTCTGGTGTGGACAAGGCACGAGGCACGTTGTTTATCTCCCTGCACCTCAGTGTCCCTAGCTGTAAAATAGAGGTGATGATGAGCGTGCCAGCACACTGCTGCCTGGAGGCAGGAGGAAACAAAGAAGTCAGGCACCCCCATCCCCACCCGGAGTCTGTGGAAAGCTGCTTCTCCTACCCGCATGAGCCGGGCTCTGGCCTGTGTCTCCGCAGGGTCCACCTTTCCTCGTGAATACCTCTGTTGGTTCGGCCTCGGCAAGGCGGGCATGGAGTGCAAGGCTAGAGCACAGGGAAGGACAGGGAGAGGGCAAGAGCTGTGGTAAGCCTGGAATCGGGTCGCAGGCCACCCACTCTTGGCCTCTCCTATCACACTGAGCGGAGGGTGACACGCACATCCATTATCACTAAGCTCCCAGGCTCCACTCTGGGCCTGTATGAGGGACTGAGAAGCTCCAGGGGAAGCAGGGGCTATGGGAATGAGCAGAGACGAGGAAAAGGGGAGCACAGCCCGGCACCACCCCCCCAGTCCCCCATCTCCTCCATAGTCAGGAACATCCATAGTTCTTGTCGTGCCAGTGGCTGATGCAGCATGGAACAGCAAGACTAGAGTATGGTAGGCCTGAATTCAGACCCTGCTCTCCCACCCACCTGATTGGTGGCCAGGGCAGGCGGGACAGGGCTCAAGAACAAGAGCTATGAGCCAGATAGGCAGGGTCTGAATCCAGGCTCTACCTTCTACTAGCTGGGTAAGCATGGCAGGTCACATGACCTTAAAAGCTGTGATCCTGCCAGAAATGGGGGTGATGGAAATAATTCTGTCAAGATAAGGTGTCTGGATAGTATATTCGCAGAAATCTTGCATCTTCTCAGCCTGTCCTGCACGCACCTAAGAACAAATCACCAAAAAGCTGCAGCTAACTAAGCTCCTAACAACAGCAACCCAGCTTACTTCAGGAAAAAATATTATTTCTTTAATGGATTTATTTCCTCGACGCTGAGAAATTTTTGTGTTAAGTGTTGAGGTGAAGAAGTAAATTAGAGGCCTCCCTGGTGGCACAGGGGTTAAAGTACAGCTCTATGAAGCTGTCGGCAGCCACTGCAGCACCAGTTCAATCCCTGACCAAGGAGGTGACCCACATGGCACAGCAGACCGCTCCTGACCTGCCTGCTGCTCCCCTCAGCAGTGTATTTCTTTCGATCTGCCTGTTCTGCCCCCCACTCTGTCTCTAGTGAAGCCTCTCAACCCCCACCCTTGCACCTCTGGTCTGTACCCTAGTTCTTGTATGCACAAATAAATAAATCTTTAAAAAAAGAAAAGGAGTAAATTAAAATAATTCTAGATTCAATTTATGAATGACCTGTATCTATCTGTTATTAAATTATATTACAGAGAGTTAGTAGATTAATGTGTAGTTTTACCTTTTAATGTGTAAATGAGATTTTTATGTAGCTTTAATTCAAAACATTTAAGACACTCATTAAATTTGTGTATAAATTACTGAAATTTTTAAGAGAACGTAAGACTAACCCATATTTAGAAGTTTATTCATTAGATGTACAAAAATCATTTAACTACCCAATAGATTTTGTTAATCAGACAATTGTTTGCTAATTAAATTGAGGGCTTACCAGGGGTTAAGTCTCAGTACTATGAAGCTATCAGCAGCCACAGCAGCAAGAGTTCAATCGCCAGCCAGCAAGCTGACCCACATGGCCCAATAGACCTCTCTTGTCTCACCCGCTGCTCCCCTCAGCAGTGTACTTCAGTGGCTCTGCCTGTTCTGCTCCCCACTGTCTCCCTGGTGAATCCTCTCAGCCCTGCACCTCTGGTCTGCACCCCAGCTCTTGTATGTATAAATAAATACATCTTTTAAAAAAAAAAAACCATAGTTTGTTTAGCCAGTCACCATTAAAGGACATCTGGATCATTTCCAGTCTAAAGGCATTATAAATAAGGCTGCTGTGAACATTTTTTATGTGACTCTAAGTTTGTTTATTTATTTATTTATGCATAGAAGAACTGCAGTACAGGTCAGAGGTGCCAGGGAGCAAGAGGATTCACCAGGGACAGAGTGGGGAGCAGAACAGGTAGACTGAGTGAAATACAGTGCTGACTATTAAGCAGAGGACTTCGAGGTCTTATGAAATGTCTGTACTACAGGTTGAAGAAGCCTGATGCCTGGACCCCTGAATGGTCACATGGAAAAGATGACCGACTCTCGGCAAATCCACCAATGTACTCTGATAGAAGTGAGAAATAAACTTGTGTATTAACACTTGAAAGCTGGGAGTTGTTTTAGTGGTTAGCCTTCCCTCAAATAAATGGATAATCGATCTTGACCCCAACCCCATCTCCAGTTCCCCCAATGCCTCTGCCCACCTGGCTGAACATTTGTCAAAGTCTTCATTTTGCTCCTCTTGTGGCTGTTGGCTTGTTGGACTGGAGGAAGAGCAGATGGCTTGGTTTTCTGCTTGGACCGCTGCCACTGAGCATAGGCCTAACAGGCATAATACAATCGGTCACATAGTTGATGGGTTCAAATCCTGCAGGCCTCAGCTTCACCCCTACAGGAATCACTAACCTTGAGCAAGTTCACAAATACCTCTCTGAGGCTCAATTTTCTCTTCTTTAAACTGGATCTAATAATAAAACCTATTGCATGGGTTGGTGCAAGAATCCCCAGACAGTTATTTGTAAAGCATGTAACAGGTGCTCCATAAATGTTAGCTATCACTTTATCAGCCAGTCAGAGTTAACGGAACACGTGCAGGCCCTGAGATGTTAAGAACTGAGAGAAAAAGCAAGCATGGGAAAGACCCCATAGGAAACGAGAGCAGCAGAGACATGTAAGAAGGTAGTCTAACATACGTTTATATTCTGAAAAAGCTAGGAGGAAACTGCCGTCCAAAAGCATGCATATTGCAGCATATGCACGTCACAGCTGGGTGTGAAATTCAGGTGTCCAGGTTCTTATCAGCCAGGGCAATCCTGAGCGTGGGGGCTTGACACAAGAGGACAAAGATACCAAGCCCCCGTGTTCTCCCTACCCCTTCTGACTCACCAGACTCTGGAACTTGTGGTTTGCCGAGCGAATGCTATAGTGGCTGGGCCTGGAAGAAAAGAAGGTCCATGACCCCCAACCCCATGGGGGACCACAAGCAACAATCGTGAAACAGACGTGGGGTCTCCAAACCAAACCCGCAGTTTCCCAAGTGGGAGGACAGAGCAGTAACGTGAGGGGGGCGGGGCTGGCGGGGCGGGGCCAAAGACCGCGGGAAGACCTCGCGGCTGGGACGGGGGGGGGCGCACGCATGCGCACTCCTGAACCCGCCCCGCCCCACCCCGCCACCTTTTACCTACTTCTGAACGGCCTGCGCCATTGGACAAAAGGGAAGACGAGGCGTGAGTCCGTAGGACCCTGGTCTCTTGGATGCCTACTAATTCGGCTGCTACGATTTCCTTCTCCCAGCACTTATCCCGCGGTCCCCTAGGCCACTCGAACTGCCCAGAAACTGGACGGTTTCTTGCCAATCTCGGTCTCCAAGGAAACGGACGCGGACTACCGAGTGCCTAGAGGGACGAATCTCGCTCAAGAAAATGTAGCTCTCCCCACGTGCTATTCAACTTGGATTCGAATACACTTGATCTTGCCCCGCCCCTAAACTAGAGAATTACGTCATATTTTTCCACTCTGCAAACCTCCCATCACTTTGTTCTCCCTGGTCATTCATTGCTAGAGACTTTGCCTGCTGTCCCACTGAGAAAACCGTTGGGACAGTGAACTCACAAGTTCGCATCACCTCATTTCTATAGATAACACAGCATACGTATATTCCTCCCGTGACTATGTATAAACTGCCTAAGACCGACAGCATACGTATATTCCTCCCATGACTATGTATAAACTGCCTAAGACCGACTCCAGAAGCGATGCTCTGAGTCCTACCCCATTCCTCTCTGCCTAATCACTCTGGCTTTCCCTCTCCATCTAAATGGCCCTTGTTGATGCCCCAGTGACCTCTAGTTTGTTAAACCCCACTCACTTCTTACTCGATCCATTTCCACCTTGGATTATTTCTCCTTGAAATACTTTCTAAATTCGGGTCCTCCCTAGTGGTTCAATGGGTTGAAGGGAAGCACTAGGAAGCTAGCTGCAGAGATTCGCCACCGGTTTGATCCCCGGCCAGGGAGCTGACCCACACTGCGCGGCAGACCTCTCCTGTTTAGCCTGCTGCTCGCCTCAACAGTGTACTTCATCCATCTGCCTATTCTGTTCCCCACTCTGTCTCTGGTGAATCCTCTCTCACTTCCCCTGCACCTCTGGCCTGTAACCAAAAAAAAAAGAAGAAGAAGAAGAAGAAGAAAAATAAATACTTTTTAAACTAGATGTACAGGAAACTACTCTTGAGTTGCTTCCTACCTCTTTTTCAGCCTCCTTTGCTGGTTCCTCTTGTCCCTGGTATTAGAGTCCCTTCCCCTTAGACCCAGTCATCTCTTACTTCTGTCTGCTCTCACTCCTTTGGTGCTTCCCATTTCTTGACTTCAGATGTCATCGCTACCCAGATGCCTCCCTGACTCACGACTCCAACTTCTCCCAGCAATATGCCTCTAAAATCCATATGCCTATTCAAAATCTCCACTGGAGTGCCTTAGAGTAAACTCTACCATACAAACTTTCCCCAGAAATATTTTGCCCCAACAAGAATGGCAACTCTCTTCCTGGAGGCACCCTTGACTCAGGATTCATCTCTCTCATCCCACATCCAGCTCTGTCAGCAATACCTTCAAAATATATCTTGGACCACTTACTAGTACCACTAGTACCGCACTCACACAAACCCCTCTTTCCTCTCACAGCTGGACTACAGTACAAGCTCCCACATTTGCCCCTCTCCAGTTCTCTCCACACTCCAGACTTGTGAGATAAAGCAAAGTTTTTTTTTAAGATTTATTTATTTGTGCATACAGAACTGGGGTACAGACCAGAGGCTCAGGGGCGGTGAGAGGCTTCACCAGAGACAGAGCGGGGAGCAGAACAGGCAGATCAATGAAGTACACTGCTGAGGGGAGCAGCAGGCAGGTCAGGAGAGGTCTGCTGCGCCATGTGGGTCAGCTCCTGGGCAGGAGGAATCGAATTCTCACTGAAGCAGCTGTGGCCAGCTTGCAGTGCTGCGTCCTAACAGGACCATAGCGCCACCAGGGAGGGCCAAAGCAAAGACTTTAAAGTGTATTGCAATTTAAAAAAGAACTTGACGGGAGCAGGTCATTTGAAATTACCTAAACTTCATTAGGGAACAAAGAATGTTACTACAGAACCCTAGACCAGAGCTCCTAAATTGTTCCCCTCTTAACAATCTTAGAGCTCTTTCCCTGCCACCGCCGGGTCACATGGAAGCTGAGGCTCTGGTGCATTCAAGATTCATTCGGCTCCACCCTGTAACCCACCGCCATGGCCGAGGAAGTCATTGCTGCTGGAGGTGTAATGGACGTTAATAATGCTTTGCAAGAGGTGCTGAAGACCACCCTCGTTCATGATGGCCTAGCACGCGGAATTCTGGAAGCTGCCAAAGCCTTAGATAAGCGCCAAGCCCATCTTTGTGTGCTGGCATCCAACTCTGATGAGCCCACGTATGTCAAGGTAGTGGAGGCGCTCTGTGCTGAACACCAAATCAAACTGATTAAGGTTGATGACAACAAAAAACTTGGAGAATGGGTGGGCCTTTGTAAAGTTGACAGAGAGAGGAAGTCCGATAAACTGGTTGGTTGCAGTTGTATGGTAGTTAAGGACTATGACAAAGAGTCTCAGGCCAAGGATGTCATCAACAAATACAAATTCAAATGAAGAAATGAGCAAATCAAAAAACTGGCTAATTAAAAAAAAATCCTAGGAGTATGATTTAGTTGCATTGTATTTCTTTAGAACATTTAGTGGTCCAAAATATCTAATGGGGGCAGCATCCTTAGGAGCGCAGGTGTTAAAGTCTCAACGCTATCAAGTTAGCACCAACCACTGCAGCACGTGTTCAACCCCTGTCCAGGGAGCTGACCCTCATGGTGCTGCAGACCTCTCCTGTCTCACCCACTGCTCCCTTCAGCAGTTTATTTTAGTAGATCCACCTGTTCAGCTTCCCACTGTCTCTGGTGACTCCTCTCACCCCCTGTACCTCTGGCCTACACCCCAATTTTTGAATGCATAAATAAATAAAAATAAAGCTTATATTATTATATTTTATTATATATATAATAAAATGGAATGATCTGTATGGGAAGTCAGAGGTATCTGAGATGTCACCCTCTCATAATAGTTGACACCTCATTTCTATACATGGAACGGTGCCCATTCCCTTTCTTGGCTATGGCCACTTAAAAAAACTTAATGCACAGATTATTTCCTCACCTCAAGATTGGAGGTTGCACATATAAGTACCCCCTGTAATATGTCTTGTGATTCCAGATGGTACCTACTGATAGGGATGCTTCATCATCAAAAGGTGAAGTGCTACTCCCAGAAGTATATGAAAGAATAAGTAAAGTGGTTTGGTTGGGGCTGCCTCATGGCGCAAGGGGTTAAGGCACAGCCAGGGAGCTGACCCACAAAGTTCAGCAGACCTCTCCTTCCTCACTCACTCCTCCCCCTCAGCAGTGTATTTCTGTCAATCTTCCTGTTCTGTTCCTCACTCAGTCTCTGGTAAATTCTCTCACTGCCCCTGCACCTCTGGCCTGTATCCCAGTTCTGTGGGATATTCCATGCATAAATGAATAAATCTTTAAAAATAACTAAATAATAAAAAAAAATTAAATAAGTGGTTTGGCTGTTTGGAGTTTTCTCAAACTGCTAAAAATGGAGCGTCCATATGACCCAGCAATCCCACTCCTATGTAGCTACCCAAAAGATACAAAAACACTGATTCAAAAGGACACCTACACCCCCATGTTTATTGCTGCTTTATTTACAATTGCAAAGACATGGAAACAACCTAAATGCCCAAAAGTAGATAACTGGATTAAAAAGATGTGGTACATACACACAATGGAATATCACTCCACAATCAAAA